CGCATCATACTATTTTAAAATCAGATATTGTCCGAAATAGGACTAAAAGAGTTTGAAAATTCCAAAATAAGACTGTCATGTTTTTATTCCCAAAATAAGACTAATTACTGCCATGTTTTGGCAGTATCAGACTTCAAACATGACAGTATTTTCCAAACTTGGCAGTAATTACTCCTATTTTGGGAATAAAAACATGACAGTCCTATTTTGGAATTTTCAAACTTTTTTAGTCCTATTTCAGGAACTTTCCCTTTTAAAATTTAGTACAGTACTATGTAGTACTCCATATCAATTACTCTTGATTGTTGTTTCAAATTAAAGTGTCACGGTGATTAAAAAAGTGAGAATTGTGTGGTGGAGAGTTGTGCAGAGGAGAGAGAAATGTTGTGAACCACAAATTCTTTGCCAAAAAGGGAAAGTGAAGTTCTTTTTTGGACAGACGAAAGTGAAAAGTTGGAACTAAATTCAAGGACAGAGGGAGTATATTTCGTTACAGTGGACATGACTTCACAATTTTGCACTCCGTATTTTTTATTTTTCACAAACTCTGTATAATATTTCCGGTCTAGCTTGCACCTTTTTCATATCAATTTTTGATGTGATTGTTTTAGGCGGGAACTTCCTCCCAAAAAATCTTTTGCTTTTATATATTACTACCTCCGTCCCCGAAAGAAGTTCTCACTTTCCTTATTTGGATGTCCCTAATTTAAGTTCTCATTTCCTTAAATGGAAAGTTAATTATATCAAAACAATGCCAAACAGTGTCGAAACAGTGTCAAAACAGTAAAATTTACCCCCTGGTAAGTTTACTTGCATAGAAGTGTGTGAAAGTCAAATGAGGAACTTCTTTCGGGGACTAGATTCCAATCTATAAAAAAATCCTTTTTTTGACTTTCATTTGCAGGAAAAGTGAATTGTTATGCAAGGATAAGGCTCAAATTGGACACTATGGTTTCATCAAAATCTCATATTTGACACTAAGGTTTCAAATGGATCAAACCTACGTTGTAAAAACCGGACCGGTGAGCGACCCGGTCATGTGACTGGGTCACGGGTCAACCCGGACTCGGAGGGTCAACCCGGTCAAAGCCAGAAAACCGGTCAACGATTATATGTCTATATAATAATAATAAACATATAATTATATACATTGTCATTATATATTTTTATTTGTATTGTACATTTATATTATAATTTGGCATGATTTTCATTCTTAAATAAATATATAAATATATTACATAGTTTTTCTTTTTAGGGAATTGAAATTGCAATTTTAATGGTTTAAAAAATGCATTAAAATTAAAAAAGAAATTACTTTTTTTTTTTTTGGAAAAGACCGAAAACCGGGTTTTCCCGGGTTTTCGGGTTTCTTGGGTCGGGTCCGGATCGGTTTTTTTCGGGTTAGCCGGGTTTTTCTGGTTTTTGACCATTTTCGGGTTTTGAAGAAACCGAACCGGATTTTTGTCCGGGTCACCGGGTTCCGGGTCAACCGAGCCGGGTCGGGTCGGTTTTTTAAACATAGGATCAAACTAGACACTATGATTTCATATGTATCTCATATTGGACACTAAAGTTTCATAATTCATAGGTTTTGGACACTCACTTATATCGGATAAAGATCAAATTGGACACTCACTTATATTGAATTATGAAACTTTAATGTCCAATATGAGATACATATGAAACCATAGTGTCTAATTTGGTCCATTCAAAACCTTAGTGTCAAATATAAGATTCTGATGAAACCATAGTGTCCAATTTGAGCTTTATCCCTTGTTATGCATGTGAGAGGTTTATTTTCACAAGTGCCGTAAGGGGTATACTTTTATTGATCATTTATTAAATTTATGTTTTAACATTTCTTTAGCCTAATGTGTTTTATACTTTTGTGAATTATGTAAGATGTGTGTTTTCAGGGGCGGAGCCAAGGGGGTCAAGATGGTCAGCTGACCCATCTGAAATACCTTCGATTTGATATATTATGGGTCTCATGACACATTACGAGTAAAAAGTTATGACTTCTGAAAAAATCAGCTGAAGAATAATGGATCAATTTTATATATATGATCAAAGGGCCGAACCAGTATATATATTACAAAGAGACAAGATCTCCTCTCCTATACAATAATGTGAGATCCAAATAATGAGGCTATAATTATGCTATACGAATGGTAGGTGCATATATGATATTAATTACAAGAATATTTACATAAATAGACCAAGTAAAATGTGTATACTAATTATGGTTTAATACGCCCCCGCAAGATGGAGGTTCCATCGGAAACACCCATCTTGGTTCTAAATGCTTCAAACTGGGATCGGCCAAGTGGCTTGGTAAGAACATCAGCTATCTGCAGTTTAGTGGAGATGTGAAGAACCTTGAGTAGACCCTTTTCAACTAAATCACGAACAAAAAAATAGTCCAACGCCAGATGTTTCATGCGAGAGTGAAATACAGGGTTGGCACACACATACGTAGCTCCAAGGTTATCACAATACAGTGTCGGTGTGGTAGAACAGGATATGCCAAGGTCCTGGAGAAGGTGACGGACCCACATCATTTCAGCACTTGCATTTGCCACGGCTCTATATTCGGCCTCGGTGGAAGACCGAGATACACACTTCTGTTTTGCTGATTTCCAAGAAATAATATTGGATCCAAGATACAAGGCATAGGCGGTGGTGGATCTCCCACGGTCGTGAACCCCTCCCCAATCAGAGTCGGTGAAGACCGAGAGATGCAGGCCAGTAGACCGGCGTAGAACAAGCCCATGGTTTAGAGTTCCCTTGAGATAACGAAGGATGCGCTTCACAGCTTGCCAGTGGTTCTGAGTGGGACACTGCATGTATTGAGATAATTTATTAACAGCAAATGAGATGTCGGGCCTTGTAAACGCCAAATATTGGAGTAACCCAAGTGCTTGGCGGTACTGGGTGACATCCGCTGAGGTCTCAGTCAAATCCGAGAGTGCAGCAGTGGTAGTACTCATTGGCGTCGTTGTCGCCTTAGCCGTAGACATGTTGCAGGTGTCCAAAATATGGAGGATGTACTGTCTTTGTGTAAGAAATAATCCATCAGAATAGGGAATTACTTCAATGCCAAGAAAATGATGTAGAGAGCCTAAGTCTTTCACAGAAAACCGTTTGGTGAGCTGAGAGATAAAGGCTTCTAGAGCAGCATCATTGTTTCCTGTTAAGACAATATCATCGACATACACAAGAAAATATATATGAGTACCATGATGAGAGTAAATAAATAATGACGCATCTGCCTTGGACCGTCTAAAATCAGCCGAGATGAGGAACCGAGACAGCTCCAAATACCAGGCTCGAGGAGCCTGTTTTAAGCCATAAATAGCCTTCCGTAATCGACAGACATAAGTGGGGTGTTGGCTATCAGCAAATCCTGGGGGGTGAGTCATATAGACCTCTTCAGTGAGAGTGCCATGTAAAAATGCATTGTTGACATCCATTTGGCGAAGAGACCAGCCCCGAGCAAGAGCAATAGACAAGATAATGCGAACCGTTGCCGGCTTGGTAACCGGACTGAAGGTGTCAAAATAATCACGTCCAGGTTCCTGCATGAAGCCACGAGCGACCAGCCGTGCTTTGTACCGGGCTATAGAGCCATCAGGGTGCCTCTTAACGCGGAATATCCACTTGCAGGAGATGGGCTGCTGAGAAGAGCGAGGAACAAGTTCCCAGGTGTTATTCCGGCAGAGTGCAGCAAATTCTTCATCCATAGCCTTCTTCCAGTTGGGTTCAGTAAGAGCTTGCTTCACACTGGTGGGTTCAAGTATGGAGGTGATTGGGTGTGTTTCAGTGTGGTTTAAATAAGGGTCTCCTAGATACCGGGTATTGGGTTTACGGTGGCGTACAGGGCGAGAGGGAGAGTGCAGGTTGGTATGTGGGACTGGTTGGGTGGTATGTGGAGTTGAACTTGTAGATGGTGGGGTGTGAGGTATGGGCGTAGGTTCAGTGGTGGATGGGCTATTGTCAGTAGGTGATGGGGGGAGAACATGATCAGGGATGGCAGGTGGGACAGACTCGGTTGGAGGGGCATCAGTGAGGGGAGAATAAAAGGGGCCAAGGGATCGGAATACGCGGGAAGGCGATGGTGTATGCTGGTCGTGCACATGTGCACCAGCTGTACCATGTGGCGCAGGAGCAGTAGACCCAAATATAGTGCCAGAGTCTTGGAATGGAAACACGGTATCAATAAATTTAACATGGCGAGAGGTAAAGATGCGACCTGATGTGGGCTCTAAACAGTAGTAAGCGGACTGACTCAAGGAATAGCCCAAGAAAACACACGGTTGAGACCGAGGATCAAGTTTAGTAGAGGTATACGGGCGAAGCCACGGGTAACAAAGACAACCAAAAGGGCGAAGTTTATAGTAATTGGGTTGATGATTATGGAGAACATAATATGGAGACTTGTAATTAAGAATAGGGGTAGGTAACCGGTTAATAAGATAGACTGCCGTTTGAAAAGCATAGGGCCAATAGGTGCGTGGGACATGAGAGAAGTGTAGGAGGGATAAGCCAGTTTCAACTATATGACGATGTCGTCGTTCGGCCAACCCATTATGTTCAGGGGTATGAGGGGGTGAGGTGAAGTGGGAAATGCCATTTTCGGTGAGATATGATTTTAATTTTAGATATTCACCTCCATTATCAGAAAATAAGGATACAAGTGGTAGAGAAAAATATTTTTCCACCAATTTGTGGAACTGAGGAAAAATAGTGGATACATCTGATTTTTGTTTTAATGGAAACAGCCATATGTACCTAGAAAAGTGATCAACAAATATAACATAGTAGCGGGTACCTTCCAAACTGGGATAGGAGGTACTCCAGACATCCGAATAGACAAGTTGTAATGGTTTAGTTGTATGCATGGTATTAGTGAAGAACGGAAGTTTGGTACTTTTATTAATGGAACAAGAATTACAATGAGATGAAATTCCAGTGCATGGAATATCTTTATTATGCTTAAGTAAATACTGAAAAATACGAGCAGAAGGATGGCCGAGGGTATGATGCCATGTGGATAATTGAGTAACACAAGAGACATTAACTTGTGGACGAACAACTGGCACAGAATATAGGTCATTATGGTTCTCCCCGCGCAGCATCAGAGACGCCCCCGTGATCCGATCCTTAACAAGAAAATGGGAGTCAAAAAATTCAACAGACACATTGTTAGTACGACATAATTTAGCAACGGAGATTAGGTTTTTATGTAAGGTAGGTACGCAAAGCACATTAGAGATGGATAAAGGACGATGTGATGTGGGTATAGTGGTGAGACCAGTGTGTGTTATAGCAAGCTTCTTACCATTCCCAAGTTGAACTTCTTCGGGACCTCCATAGTCGGTGTAGGTCGGGAGATGATGAACGTCTGAAGCCACATGATGGGAGGCCCCACTGTCAAATAACCACTGAGGACGTGATGTAGCAGAGGAAGTGGCCGTGTGATTCACCTTAGGAGAGGCCGACTGGGAAATATTGTTGTCCCGGAGAAATCGCTGAAGTTTGCGGCATACTTTGACATCATGGCCGGGGTTATCACAGAACTTACAAATAATGTTGGTGTTCGATTGAGGTCCAGAGTAAGCAAATCTGCCACCACGACCCCGACGAGATGACTGGCGGCGATCATACGTCCCAGCCGTACCACGTGCAGCAGAGGCATAGTGACTGGTCAACGAAGTGGCATGGACTGCTGGAATGAGAGACTCAGTGGCAGCCGTTTGCTCTTGTTGGCGTGACTCCAGCTCCAGGAGAATTTCTCTAAGTTCTGCAACCGGCAGTGGTGTAGTACGAACACGGATAGCAGACGCAAGCTCATTGTACTCAAGCCCCAGGCCATTTAAAATGGTGATGACAAGATCCTCATCACACACCGGGTTCTGTGCTAAGGCTAAGTCATCAGCTATGCCCAGTATTTCAGCCAGATACGTAGTAATACTGTTAGAACCCTTCTTGGTACGAGCTAGGGCAGTTTTGAGGGCAATGATACGTCCACGGGATGAACTTGCAAAGGTATGACTCAATTTGTCCCACGCTTGTTTTGCCGAGGCAGCGGAGGAGATAATCGGTTGGATAGTATCTGAACAACTACCCAGGAGAGCACTGATTACCATCTTGTCTTGGCGGTACCATGGTAGATAGCATGGGTTTGGTTGTGATTTGGCAGCGTCAAGGAATGGAGCCGGAGTTTTCGTGTCACCGGTAATATATCCGTCAAGTCCCAATCCAATTAGGGCGGATTGCACTTGGCATCTCCAGACTGGGAAGTTGTTGGAGGTAAGTTTGATGGGAAAGTGATTGGAGGCCGTGAGATGGATGACCGAAGTGTTGGCGTCAATAGCCATAATGCAGGATCGAAAAAAAAAAGATTGAAGCTCGCAAGAGATTAAGCTCTTGATACCATGAAGAATAATGGATCAATTTTATATATATGATCAAAGGGCCGAACCAGTATATATATTACAAAGAGACAAGATCTCCTCTCCTATACAATAATGTGAGATCCAAATAATGAGGCTATAATTATGCTATACGAATGGTAGGTGCATATATGATATTAATTACAAGAATATTTACATAAATAGACCAAGTAAAATGTGTATACTAATTATGGTTTAATATCAGCACCATTTTAATTTGAAATAAGCAAAATTTGATGTGTGAAGATGATTATATTCTTAAATTTAAAAATAAAACACTTTATTCAATCATTAGTTGTGTGAACATTATGATACATTACATACTCCGTATACATTACATTACGAATAGTACTATCATATTCGTAAGTAACGTAATGTTGAAATGGCTTGGTTAATTCATTTAAAAAAAATGGCATGGATAATTCATTATTATTATGTACTACAGTATTATTTAAAATGTTGAAATAATGGCATAGATAATTGATGTTGCCAAAAAGTAAACTTAATGAGATGTAAATGTCATAGAATATAACAATTACGTTATTAAAACCCTTGTCATTGTTCTGTTTCTCTTCTTAGCGACTATGTCAATGAATCATGATACGCTTCTTTCTACTAGCTTGACACCCACCGGTGCAATGATATTTGATATGATATACGTAGTACGTAGTATTATGAGCCATAAACATATATTTTAGAGAGAGATGAGAGATAGAGATAAACATATATTTTAAACATATATTTTAGAGAGAGATGAGAGGTAGAGATAAACATATATTTTATTGCATCATTATTGGGCAAACACTCTCGCGTCTTGCGCAAGCAAAAGCTGGGGAGCAAAAGCTAGTCTGTTTGATACGTAGTAATACATTAATTCTTGTTGTTGCTGTAATTTGCCATTTAGGGACAATGCTTGGGCCGATTTTTGTAGTTGTATTTGTCATTTTACTTTGCCATAATTTTGCTTGAGCAATACGAAGTATAATATTACATCCGCCCTAATTTGATAATCTTATTTTCATTCATTTGGCCAACACAAATATTTTTAATCTCTTATTTTATTCGGAGTATATCAAATTTGATTTTATACTCCTTTTAATTAAAAAGCTCTGAAAAGTGATGTACTCCAGATAGAGCATAAACAACGGGCTGATTTAATCATAGAGATTTGAAAATAACGATATATCTAAAAACAAGTAACTCTTTTCTATAAAAAATGCCATTGCCAAACTTCTAACCAGTGAAATTGGGCTAATAATTCTATAAATGACAATCGCTATAATGTGTTTTTACTCAAAACAACTCTCTGATTTTTCTTTTCAGAACTTCATGCTTATTTTCCAAAAATTGGAAAAATTTGAACGAGGACCAACCTCTGTTAGTTTATTCGCGTATAATTCACGTATAATACATTCAAACGTATAATTCGCGTATAATTACTCCCGTTTCTGAAGTTTTCAGAAAATACTGAAAAATTCACGTACTTTAAAGATAAAATGTATAATACACGTACCGTACGTATTGTTACGTATTTTATTAAAGAAACGCCATTAAACTGAAGCCTAATGGAGTGGTACAACTGAAGCAAAATGTCTAGTTGCTCAATACTATTTATATTGCTTAAAAATTTGTTATGTCTTATATGTTCATTAATTGTTTAATAGTCATAAGATTTAATAAATTAGCTTCTTAAAGTCATAACTCGCTTCGATATTACTATTGGACTACTCTTGTTATCTACTCATACAAAGACTCCAAAGAGAAAAGATTATTACGGCGGCTCACCAAATTTACGGTCACAGTAATTAAACAATTCTCTAGAAATATCTCTCTATTTCTACATAAATAGGAAATGTCATTTTTATTACTTATTGTACCTATGAATTAAAATTTTATATCTGAAAAACTATTCCGTACATTTTAAATTGTTGTAGAATGTGGTGGATACAGGGGCGGACGTAGTGTATAATTAGGATAAGCATAGGCTTTACCTCAAAATTTGTTCTTAGCCTATATGGTAGTAGCATTGATTTAAAATTTTCCTAGGCTTCAGGTCAATGGTTCAAAACTCCCCAAAGGCTTCACGTGATTTTGTTTTATATGGAGTAAGTGCTAGCTATGCTTTCTTTTTGAAGCATCGGATGTGGCCTTACGGGCTGAGATCCTATATCTTCAAATTTTAAAAGCATCAAAATTAAAAAATCTCCACCCATTCTCTAAATACTAAACTCAATCAGCATTTTTTTTCAAAATGTGAAGAGCAAGGAGCAGCTTTGGTCATCCACTATTTTAGTTTCAGGATTTTTAAGTCCCTCAATATATAAATGATAAAATCTATTATAATTATTATTATTATTATTTTTTTTTTTATTATTATTTTTATTTCAACATGTCTACATTGTATTCTCTAATACTCATGAAGTGTTATCTTAATTTTCGCTCTTATGAACGAAATAAATATCGATAATAAAATACTCTCTCCATCCTCTTAATTTTATCCCGTTTTATCTTTTTCGCCCATTCCATTAAGTTTGTCTCGTATCATATTTGATAGTATTTGGGTGGTTACAATTTATTTTTACTTTATTCACACTTTATCAATTCAATATCAACTACATAATTCCATTTTTCTAAAAAGTAGTATCATACCCTCTTGTCCCAAACTAGTGGAACGGGGGTGGTATAAGAATATAATTGTATACACTTATACATGTATTTATGTCAAATACGTTAATTTGGTTGACATGGAATTATATAGCAATAAATAATTGCGAATTTACTGTTTTTTACAGTGTACATTACATTTTTTATTCTAGTGTTCATATTTGTAATGATGCTTTTATTTTGAAATTTTATGTACATATAATGTACATGTATAATTTTGTGCATACACTGACCCCCGATGCCTAGATCCGCCACTGGGTGCATATGCTAAATTACTCTTTACTCTCCATTAAATTAGTCTATAAGACATGTATTATATGCTGTATTTTTAAATTATGAAACGTTTAAAACACATTTGTATCTTTATGCATTTCACGAATGTATGAAACATATATTTAGCCGTATTTTATATAATTGTATCATATTATACACGAACGTACGCATTATTGTATTATTCACGAACCGTATATTACTAATAAAGGGACCAACTAAACAGCCTTAAGCTTATTTTTAAACTACCAATTACACCAATAAGCACACCAAACCACCAAATGAATATGAAAAATATTTGCATTGTAGTAAGGTATGTAATTCAAAAATTCACATAAGACTGCTATGAAAATCTAGATTACATGCTCAGATGAAAAATACTTTGCACTATTTTCCATTATTCCATGACAAGTTTGGCCCCAACTGCTTTCATCTTTTCAATAACTTGCTCTGGTTCTTCCTTTGATCTCCTTTTTTAAACACTGCAAGTGACTTTTCCACCAAATCTCTGCTTCTTTTCTTCCTTAGCTACTGCCTCCTTCAACTGTCATGCCAGCAGCATCTCCTGCCTTCATAATCCGCACCGTGGGTTGTGGAGTCATCAAAATCCCAGACAGCTCAGCTACTTCAACCAGTGAGAGCCCGAAACTTCATCAACAAGCCTTCACACTCTTCTCTCTGTTGGAGGACTACGACGCTCCGTTGGATCAAATGTTGTGGGGTCATAAGTGGAAAGAGTTAGCGGGTGAATGTGCAGCATATTAACCCACCTCTTCCCTTTTCCGCACTATGCACAATATGTTTCCTTATGAGTTGTAGAGTAGGCAAATGATTATTTAACTATAAAACCAGACTCATTATACAATGTAGTAGACAACTGAAAAGTAATTTCCATTTGTATTTGCTCTCATGAAGCAAATCACCACTGTTGAACAAAAAAAGAAGCAAAGAATTTATGCCATCATATGCTTGCAGATTCCAATTCTAAAGTGAAATACAATTGATAGGGAAATTAGCAATTTTGTTGTCCCCAATAACAAAATAGAAACTTTTAAAATTTATTAGACTCAAAGAATGAAAGGGCAAAAAACAGTTCATGCTCTTTCTCAATAAAGCATTAACTTTTTTCAAGCCTGCAAACTAGCATATCGGCATTAAGTTTTATTTTACCCAAGCATTAAAAGTATCACAAAAGATGTTAATGTAAAATGTAATACTCCCTCTATCCCGGAATTATCTTCATACCTTCCTTTTTCGTCCGTTCCAAATTTATCTCCTCTTTCCCTTTTTGGCAAAGGATTTGTGGTTCACAACCATTCTTACACATTTCTCTCTACTCTGCACAACTCTCCACCACACATTTCTCACTTTCTTAATCCCCGTGCGGCCGTGCCCAGTCAAAACCGAAGTTAATTCTGGGACGGAGGGAGTACTAAAGATAAATGTATTATATACTTCCAGTATTTTCAGAAGCTGATTAAAGCATATAAAAAGGAAACAACAATATATACAGCTGAAACAGTCAAAATTGGCACAGAAAATAGAACAAAATAAAAATACAAGAAAAGCCATCAGTTCTATTTGATATAAAGTAGAGGGTGGTGTATAGAAGATATGTAGAATAGTATTTCAGATTTGTATTTTCAAACATGCATCGAAAACTTCAGCATTTATTAAATAGAAAAACTAACCTTTGTAATATGAGAATGTTTAATAAGGTTGGAAGGTTTAAGGAGTGTTTGTGTTTGCTTAAAAAAAGCGCTTTTCAGCTTTTGGCTTAAAAAAGTTAAAAAGAGTGCTTTCAAATGACAGTTTCTACTTAAATTAATCACTTAAAAGCTAAAGGCTGGAAGCAGGTAGAAGGGTGCTTTAAACTGCTTCTCACTTTTTCTATTACACAAAAAGTACTTATTTTACCAAACACTACCAACTTTTACT